CCACTGAAAAGAGGCCGCCCCCTCCTCCTCACTGCCTCCCTTGAGGTATTTATACACGCTGATCAGGTCCCCCCTCAGCCTTCTCTTCTCCAGGCCTGTTCAGGCCCAGCTCCCTCAGCCTTTGCTCATAGGGCAGATGTTCCAGGCCCCTGATCATCCTSGTAGCCCTGCGCTGGACTCTCTCCAGCAGCTCCACATCCCTCTCGTCCTGGGGAGCCCAGAACTGGACACAGTCTCCAGATGTGGCCTCACCAGGGCTGTGTATAGGGGGAYGATSACCTCCCTCGACCTGCTGGAGACRCTCTTCTTAATGCACCCCAGCATCCCRTTGGCCTTCTTGGCCACCAGGGCACACTGCTGCCTCATGGTCTGAAGAGATCTGCAGACCTGAAGAGCTCTGCAGCTAAGTCACCTAACTGCAACTTTCCTGTTTGGCATCCCGCTTTTTGCCCCGCTCTCCCGTGCCGGAAAAGCAGGGCGGGCGGCGCTACTTACGCACGCCTCCCGCTGGACGCGCTGCAGGGCTCTCTGGGCGGGCACGAGGAAGTCGAGGAGGCAGCGGAGGCCATCGCCCCGGTACGGCCTGTCCAGCACGCGGAAGAGCTGCCAGAGGACGGTGGCAGCGGTGGCCTCGAAGGGCGGGTAGAGCGCGGAGAGCGCGCTCTGGATGTACCCGTCCAGGGGCTCGGARTCCTGCAAGGGAAGAAGTCACTGAAGAACTTGCAAAGAAATGCAAAGACAGAAATTCCCAATGCACTTGCTGCACCCCGCTACATYCATATACTGCATTCATATACACATTCATACGCTCACAGTGCATGGGGAGCTGCCCTGGTGYAAGCTGCACGGCAGCCTGGAGCAGAAGGAAGTGCTCTCGCTGCCTTGCATGCAACTGTCCAAACTGCTGCCTTTTAACGCGCTCCGCAATCCGCTGGAATGCGGCTCACGACAGCTTTTGCAATTGGAATTATTCACATTATGAAATGCCCAAACACTAAGCTTTTATTAAATGACTATTTCCCCGTACATTCTTTTGCCTCACCTGAATTTATGTGCTGCAGTGAAAACACGTTGGGCTTGGTGTTGCATGTGCAGTAAATAACATTTATGGATTCCAAAAAGACTCCAGTAAACACTTTTATATCCTAAGCTCGTCTATGCTAACAACCTGAATTTCTGCTTTCTTCAAAACCTACTTGTATCATAAAGTTTCACATTCTTGGTTTCAACAGCATAAAACACTGTCATTTTGCTTTATGACTGCTGTCATTTRGCATTTCAAAAACATCCAGAAGATTTACTGAAGTATGAATATGTGGAATGATCTATTTTTTCCTCCCCAAAGAAGATTCCTAACTACTATTTCATACTTTCAATAGCCAAAACCTCATAACCATTCCTGCTGTATACATTTTCACGAGCACTGGACTGGAGGTACTTTGAGGCCCATTCTTTTAGGAGATATTTCCCAACACCTGCAAGTGTCTGCCTAAAGAAAAAAGGCAGCTAGATGCAGCATCCCAAATAGTCTATCGAGTTATGCTCATTTGGCTTAAAACTTRCAATAAATTCTGTGTGTGTGACTGTGGTTAGAAGTGGAGAAGGAGGAGAACAGGAAAGTTCCAGAGATGTGTGCGGGAGAAGCGAGAGCATCCGCCAGCGCCGCCTCCCTAGAAGGAAAGGGCTGTTTTGGAGAAGGGCAGGAGGCAGCTGTGCCAAGAAAGGGCACAGAGGAGGTGCCCAGAGGAAGCAGACACTGTCAGGGATGACGGGGAGCGGGCAGGGAGTCCCTATGTGCAAGGCAGCAGCGCAGGCCGCAGGCAAGGAGCACGGCCCGGGACCAAAGCACTGMGACGGGGGCAGCAACGTGGAGCTGGTTTCCGATCCCCCAGCCACGAAGCAGGCCTTAAAGCACTTGTTATCACCTCAGTCTGGCAGCTGTGCTTGTTTTACAGGTGCCGAGTTTGGTGGAACGCCTGAACTCACGGAGCAGCAAAAGCAGGTAACAAACCACAGCGGAGCTGGGGCCTTTGGGGAGCAAGGAACATCATGGAGCTCTCCCTTAGGGCTCCACAGACACAGAAACATCAAACTCAAATAAATAAATGATATGTTTGCTATGTAGGAGCAACCCTCTACCAGAAATAAAGCAAATGGATCACCAAGGAGGAGAGATTTCCCCAGGCTGAGACCCTGGGACAAATCCAGGACGGGCAGAAAGGCTGCAGTCACTGCAGAGCGGTGCCGGGCAGCGCTGCTGCCTTCAGGCTGGTGCTCTGCAGAGGGAAGGAAACGTCTGTGGGGAGGAAACTGCGCTGATCAACTTTCTAGTCCTCAGTTTACTCCTATGTCCTTGAATCACAYGTGTAGAAAACGAAGAAAATCATTCTGGAATCTGGCAGATTCTGGAAGAGAAAGTGTTTTTGGGGCACCAAGGGTAGGGAGAGAGAAGCAGAGAAGAGGAGAAAAGCAGCAAGATTAAGAAATCCAGATGGATTCCAGATTAAGTGATTTCACTGACTCCACTATCACCTCGGAGCAGACTCCAGAGATGCAGAACCGAAGGGCTTAGATCCCAAGGGAAGCCAGCCCCAGAGGCTGCCCTTCTCCCAGGGAAGATGGGAGTTAAAGATTAAGTGAATGACACGGAGCTTCGCCTACACCTGGCCAAGKATTCGAAACGATGCCATGCAGAAATGCTAACACGGTGCAGGGCTGTGTTAYGCTACCTAACCAGCTCTGGGGCGTCCAAGCTCCCAGCCCTGGCAACACARCACGGCCGGGTAAAGAGAGTCGCCTTCCCGCATGAACAGCAAACCAAAGAGCAACCCGGAGCAAACACCAAGAGCCTGGACAGACACAGCAGGAGCTTCTCCACGCAGCTCGTCCTTCACATGGAGCCGCTGTGGCACAGCGGGGAAGGCAGCTGGAGCCCCCCGGCCAAGCGCATGTTCCACATCCAAGGCGGCAACCTGCACACGTGGGACGGGGGCCTCTGGGCTGGGCCCAGATCCGTCAGGAATGGGAAAGAATGTGGAAAACACGGGGCTGCCTGGCGTGTTTGTGAGGAACCTGCCAGGTAAAAGGCTCCCCAAGAACATATTTCTCCATAGCAAATAAATCGAGGCAGCCTGAGAGGCCACGAGAACGCTGTTGCATGGGGAAAAGGCAAAGCAGTRAGAGAGAAGCTGTAACCACTGCGTTACGTCGGATATTGCCTCAAACAGACGAGCCAGGCAAGCAGCCGTGGAAATCAGCTAAGCAAAACACTCCTCCTGAGAGGCTCGGGAGCCTTTTCTAGCAGCTAATAAAAGAATCACCTTTCACAGGTACGGAGCCACGCTGCGCCGCGGMGGCTGCACACACAACCACCCTTCAAACCACTTGAAACTGAAGCCTGTTCTCARGACAGGCACTCATCCCCAGAGAGACTGGTGCGTTTGTTGAACACAAACGGTGCTCTGAAGCAGGAATCCCTAACATGGTAACGATGCCTCTACCAGAATTAATGCCAAAGAAGAGGTCTTTTGCACTGAGGTCTCAAACAGCAACACCAGCAACTGCTCTATCACACTCCCATCTCCTGGTTTGTTTTGACACAGGGGTCAAAAAGCTGCTCTAGGCTATCGAAGTTTATATTTGCCTACCAAAACAAACATATCAATCACTATCTGCAATGTCAAAAAGACTCAAAATAACTAGTTAAAAATAAAACATAAAGACTCTCCAAACGGAGGAAATCAAACAGAGGAATATTTATCTTATTTTTTTTTAGTATCATTTCCACCTCAAGTCAAGAAACAAAACGCCATCAAGCAACCTTGTAAAAGTTTCTCAGCATTTCACATGACCAACCCTTAGGCCTGTTCAATACGAAGGTATTATACAGGCAGGTGATTTTTCATTTCACACCTAGATATTGTGCCCGGGGGAGAAGCAGAGCGTGGGTTTCACAGCCAATAGCTCCACTGAGCCTCGGTGCCACTGGACTGCCCGACGTGGAGCGTGTTCTGCAGAGAGGAGAAAAACAACYGCTGAATATGTCCAGGTTTGAAGCTCAGCCTTTCTGCTCAGTTTTGCACAACCTGGCTATTCTCTTTGTGCCTATGGTACATTGCCTTACATTGACCTGTTTTCACCACAACATCGGAGGGCAAAGGCCTGTGAGGTTGATTTGTCAAACTCTCCATGAAAAGCAAAACTGAAGCAGCAGGTAAAAAAGGTGCCGGCTCTCATGATTCTGCTTCTCAGACATACACATTAAATACGATCAAATATGAAAGTTTTGCCATCTACTTGGTTGCRATGACCAAAACACACAGGTACTTGCACGCTCCTGCCAGGCTGATCRCATCAGAGAGCTCAGCAACACGCTCGGCACGGAGCTCACCCTGAGCACACAACCTGCTGTCTTCTCTCCAGATTCAGCTGTTCCCATTTTACAYGGCAGAGATCCACTCAAGTAATTTAGGAGCAATGATCAGGAGTTTGCTGTGAGCAGGACTACTAGTTGGCAGGGAATTTKGCCATGTACAGCCTCTCCTCTGGAGATGGGAGAGGCTCAGGGTGCTGGTGAGAGGTGCGGATGTGTCTGGGAGGCTCTGGTACCCGGGGTCCCATTGTCACGAGGGATGACATGAAGACAAAGGGAGTTGTCCATGCTTAAGCTCCAAATACTCATCCTRGAGCTTCCCACATCCACGTCTGCTCTCACCTGCAACTTCCACCTCCAGCTGCCGTGCTTGAAACACCTTTTCCTCTTCATCTGCTTTTACCTACCTCTCACATTCAAAAATCCTCTCTCTGCCGGTCGGGACCCATGACACTATATATTTACGTATTCCCAAATGACCTCCTGAAGAACACCAGGACASTACAACGCCTTTTACAAGCAGGGAAGGGGGCTCACGGGAGGCTGCGCTCCGCRTTTTGCGTGGCGGCCCTGGGAGCTCTTGGAGCCGCCGACCTCACCGCGGCCAAACGCGGCGCCAGGGCAGGATGCACAACGGAATCCCGGGAATGCCGGAGGGGAAACACCTGGGAGGGCAGCGGGCACTTCCGCGGGCGGCAGGCGCGGACGCGCTCCCGGAGCAGCTGCTCCCTTCCCGCCTCCCTTCCCGGCAGCTCTGCGGCTTTGCTCTGTTCATGGCCAGGGCTCCCCGTGAGCCTCCTCGCTGCTCCCTCCTCGCCAGAGCCGGGCTTTCTCAGCAGCAAAAGGGTTGTTCAGAGCACCTGCAGGTCCACAGGGCCCCAGCTCACCCCCAGCACAACCTTCCCCAGCCCCAGAGGCCAGTTCTCGGCATGAAAACCAGCCGGCGGATTTAAGTCCCTAACAAATTCACAGGCAAGAAGGTGTTTTAGAAAAGGCCCCAAAAACAGTACATTTAGACTAACTAACAAGACAGCCAATTGCTTTAATTTTTCCATATATGAGAGGAAGACAGAGCAAGAAAGCAGAGAAACCGAGGCCAGACAGGGCTTTTCTCCCCCAGATCCCCATCCCACTCTCCTACCAAAGCTGCCTGGGGACAGGAGCCTCCTGGTACCGGAGCATTCCAGAACCGCGGCACTCGCGTCAGGCTGGCATCCCGTCAATTCATCTTTCCTTGGATAAAATCTCGCTGCCAAACTCCCTCCTCCTCCAGCAGGATGAGGAATCCTGAATTCAGCCCATGCAGACGAGCTTGAGGAAA